GACTTGAGATAAGACATTGTGTAATTTTAGTGTCAATTGGATTTTTTTTTTTTTTTTTACTTTTTGCAGGACATAGAAAAATGAAATTATGTTATACGGGTCTGATGATTAGAAACGTTATGGGGTAATAAAAATAATGGAACTTATGTGTTAAATTTAGAGCAAGAGTCTGACGTATATTGTTACTTATAGCTGTTGCGGGGAGGGTCAGAAGTCAATTCTTTTTTGTTTTTTTCTTTTCTGCACTTTTGCTTTTTACTATTTTCTAATTTTTTCAATTCCTTTTTTTTTTCTTATTTTCTTTCTTAATATTAGTTTTGATTAGTTTTTACTGTTTTTTTAAAAAATATATTAGTTATTATAAAAAATAATTAAGTATCTTTTACTGGGGAACTCTAGGAAGAAAGAGTCTGCCAGTGAGGCTTATACTCATTTCCCACCCCCATCCCTTGGGTAATGGAACTAATGATTTATTTTTTGTTTTTTATTTATATTTCAAATTTGGTCACCGCCCATCTCACTAAAAAGTGACTCTGGGCGGTTTACAGTAAAAATATAATTAATTATATATTAATTATATATACATATATTAATTATATAATTAATGTTACATCTGATTTGATTCATTAGAAATGTTTGGTTGCAGATGGTTTCCTGAACCCAAATCTTACACTGGACAGCTGGACTTCAAATACTGTGATCGGACAGGTGGTGTCAGCCCCACTAGAAGGACCAAACCAGGAAATCAACTCCACAGGAAGGCTAAAATTACTTTTATTGAGACTGGCTATAATAACAGAACCTTGCAAGTCTGCTGTTCCTCCTCCTCCTCCTCCTCCTCCTCCTCCAGTGAATCAGGGCGGTGTCTGCCTGAGATGCTTCTCAATATTATCTCCTTGTTCTGGAATTAAAACATACTTCAGACCCTTTGACTAGGTAACACTTCCTGCACATCTCCATCAAGATCATCTTCCCTACTTCCTTTCAGGTAGAGATTGTGACTCCACTGTTTCTCTTACACCTGTGTGGTTCCAAATACATAGTCCTATCTTTAGAGAAGAGCAAACTCTTTTGGTAAAGGCTCTCTGTCCCGTGAGTGCATTTTCACTGGAGCGTTTCAATTACAGTAAATTTAAAACTGCTGTAATTTAATCCAAGCAGAAAGTTTCTCGGTGACTGTGAAAGCAAAACAGGTGACATTAATGGCACAAATGTTTCAATGGACAGCATTCAGTGTTGCATCTTTTGGCTTGAAAAAATTCCCAGCCTTTCTGGTCTATAAACATGAGGAATCTGAAAATTGCCCTGAGGTAGAAACTGTGGTCTTAATTCAGTGTCATCGATCTGAATCTCATTCATACCATGGTAGCTAAGAGAACTTGATCTGAATAAGACAGCTTTGTTTGAAAAAGAAAAGGCAGTATCTTTTGACTGCAGACCTTGTCCTATTGGGATGGATTAATCGCCCTGTTAGTTTACAGTCAGTGCCAATTCGCAAAACCTCACGGATGTGCAACCTTTTGCTTCTAGCCTGCACCTATTTTAAAACTCCATACTTGGTCATGGCTCATTAGGGTAGGTATCTCTTCTCAAGACCTCACTGATTGTCTTTACATGGAGCAAACTATACATATTTGTTCTTCTTGCCTCAACTACCTCATAAAAATCAACCCAGTGTCTCAAGAAACTATATTTCAATCAAGGAAATCAGACTTGAATTCACATGCCTGCTCAGTCATTAAATCATCTAGATGACTGTAGAGAAATGAAGAAGGCATAGATGGTGAACTATTCTGATATGGCCTAATGGCTAATGAATAAAGCAATATTATTATTGGTAGTGGTGGTGGTAGTGGTGGTCACACAGTCAGCCAAATGTTTAGACTGGATTTGGCATTTTTGTCCACCTATCAAATCCTTCCCAAGGACCTGGGATAGACAGATGTTGTTGTTTGATTAAAGATATCATCACAGGATATAAGCTGTTCCAAGTAAAGCTGCCTTTTGCAATTGACTGATGGTGATTTTGTCAGTGTTGATGGTCTCCAAGTAATACTCCAGATGTTTTGGGTTGTATCCAAGGCACCTATTACTATTGGTACTATCTTTGCTTGCTTTTGCCACAATCGTTCTATTTCTATTTGCAGGTCTTTGTATCTTGTGATTTTCTCCAATTCTTTCTCTTCTATTCTGCTGTCTCCAGGTATTGCAATGTCCACTATCCAGACTTTTTTGTCTGATTACTATTGGTACTATCTTTGCTTGCTTTTGCCACAATCGTTCTATTTCTATTTGCAGGTCTTTGTATCTTGTGATTTTCTCCAATTCTTTCTCTTCTATTCTGCTGTCTCCAGGTATTGCAATGTCCACTATCCAGACTTTTTTGTCTGTCTTATCAACAATTGTTAAGTCTGGAGTGTTGTGTGGCAGGTGCTTATCTGTTTGGATTCTAAAGTCCCAGAGCACTTCAGCTTCTTCATTTATATTACTTTGTCTGTTTTGTGGCCCCACCAGTTCCTACTTGCAGGCAAATGGTATTTCTTGCAGATATTCCAATAAATACCATTTGCCTGCAAGCAAAGACTGGTTATTATTATGTATTATTGGTTATTATTATTTTTGGTGGTGGTGAACTGCTACTTTGAAATGGTTATAAGCGAACATCCTATGTGCCAAGACCAATTCTAGTCCAGCTCTCTGCCTGCTTCATGGTGTTGTGACAGGTTAGCCCTCTTCTATTTGTGCAGTGAGATGATCAGTGCTACCTCCAAAGCTACTGTTGGGATGTTCATAAAGCTATTGTTTTCTACTGTTAGGTTTGGCAATTTGGACCTTGGCAAAATTTTTAAAAAAGGATGATACTTTGTTCTTTTGGAGTGGGGGGAATGCATTCATTCATTCATTCATTCATTCATTCATTCATTCATTCATTCATTCATTCATTCATTCATTCATTCATTCATTCATTCATTCATTCATTCATTCATTCATTCATTCATTCATTCATTCATTCATTCATTCATTCATTCATTCATTCATTCATTCATTCATTCATTCATTCATTCATTCATTCATTCATTCATTCACTTACTTACAGGGTTTATAGACAACTCCAATCAACTGACTCTGAGCAGTGTACAACTCCCCAAATTCATAATTTGGAATTAAAACAGATAGTAATCAAATTTAAAACAAAAAACGTACCCTGTAATTTTGTGTACAACATAATCCTTTAGGACTGAACATCAATATAGGTTGGTTGCTTTGTGGAAAGAGACTTTAAACTGCTTGGTTTGGACTTTATTTTTTAATTATCTGCACATTGATGAAAATATCTTAGTTTGAGGGATGGAGGGTTAGAAGTTAAACATCATAGGTGTCTTTCTGAAAAAGGTGCTGAGTAGAGCCACATGGAAGAGCAGGTGTAATACCTCTGCTTCAGCAGTTTGTTGGTTTCCCCACCCCACCCTCCAAGCACCTGAAAAAGCAGGAAAAAAATAACTAAATAAAAATCCTCAAAGAAAAGACCTGTCCCAGCAATCTGCATAGACATATGGATCTCTTTAGCAGAAAGACAGAAAACAAGTGGTTAAAAATGCTTTCAGTCTTATCAGGGATAAAGTTGTCTGACACTGACATCAATGATTTATTTTTTTTAATCTGAGGAATGAGTAAGCCATTTAAATCTTTCCAAAGCTGTGAGAGACTAGGTCTACTAGCAACCCACTGGGAATCAATTGATCAAATTAACACAAATGGTATGTAACGAGGGAGGCAATGGAAGGGAAGATCTATGGAACAGCTCCTCTACCATGATGTCTCCTTGCTTAAATATGCATTCAGATGGGTAGAAGTTGGAATATGTCTGGAATCTGAATACTCTAAGATGAAATTCTGGGTGATCTACAGAAGATGGAATACAATGAATTAACAGATGGAGCAAGTCTTGGAGTTGTAATCCCAACATATCTGAAAGACACCAGATTGAGGAAGCCTAGGTTAGCTTATGCTGGGATCACATATCACACTTTACCATAATCCATCAAGCCATGACTTGTAGTGATGTTGAGTTCACCCACTGATGAGAGATGTTATCAGTCTAATTCAGCCATTTCCAAGCTTGGGTTCCGGTTGTTGGACTAAAACTTCCATCGTCAATAGTAGAATGTGATCATCCAACTTGGTAGGTGATCAAGGCAACTAAGATTTTCAAAAGACATTCTACTACTATCCTTGTAGTTTGCCATTCAGCTTCATGATTTATTCTGGCAAAGTCACAGTGCCTCAGTCACGGATTTATTATCATTTCCAACATATTCAAATTTGCAAGAATAATTATGCATATGTTCTCTGTGTATATTCTCAGTTAAGAAAAATAGAGTCTGGGGGCAAAAAAAGATGTGATAACTGTAGCCATGCTTTTCTGAACATGGACCTCTTGCTATAACATGGAAAAAAGAAACTGATCTTTGAATATCAGGTGGGTGTGGTTGAAATATTACTTAGGTCAGTCTAAAATGGATTAAGGAAAACAAGCCAACCAAAACCTCAATCAACATCTCAAACTGGGGAGCTCAGCTGCATTCTAGGATTAACAGATAGCATAATGGGCATTAAGGAGACATTCTAGGAAATATTTACACATGTTGCATAAGAGAAACAACAAAGGTTAGGACTCAATTATATTGGGTTGATTCTAGTTTAGCTTGATATATGAAACTACTCTCTGTGGTATGTAAGCCATGGTTTATGTGTTAATATATCATATGAAGCTAGTTGTGGTTTACTCAATAAACAATGATTTAAAAATTCTTTAAATAAAATTGGACAGGCAGAAAAAGCATTCTTTATTCAGAAGGGAAGAGAAGGAGCTGATGATTTAAATCAGCTGGCAAGTTTGTTATTTCTTTTTATTTGCAATAACAGTGGTATTCTGTTAGTATTACAAATAAGCCCACGTGTATTTTGGAAGTTTTGCAAATAAAACCACATCCAAAGAAAACAAATTAATCTAAAATTTATTGCCTATGTTGTCATTTTAATTTGTGAACACTATGATCCATCTTAACATATTGCAGAAAATGTTGTTCTAAGCATTTTCTACCATGCATCTTCATGAAACAGAATATGGAAAAAATACACACATAAAAGTTGTTTTCTACAAATGGGATAGAAATATGGTTCCAGGCACAAAGGATACAATCCTGAACAGTTAAGTCCTGATGTAATCAATACCCATTCTATAATTCTTACTGCAATAAAGCCAAGTGACAAAGAGCTTACCAATCACCTTAAGGAGGGTGGTCAAAAAAGGGCACTTCCACATGAAGGCTTTATCCCATTTTGGAACTCGTTTTGGCATCATATAGCTTTAAGGACTGAGTTCAGGAGAGGAACAGCTCAGTGGCAGCTTATTGGAGAAAGCTGGTGTATTGAGTGCCATGTTATCTCTCTGTGGAGCTTGTGGGCGCTCTACTTTTTCATTGCCTGGACCTCTGACCTCACCCCTAGCTTCTGGGTTGCAGGCAACTCCCTTCAGTAGGGCTTCAGCATTCTGTTCCTCTCTCCTCCTCCTTGCTCTCTATTCCAGCCACTGAGAGAACTATCTGGTTGCCAAATGCCAAATACTGTTCTTTCACCATTGTACTATAACAGCTGGCTGTTAATGCATGTAGCCAGACAAATGCATGTACTGAAAACATGCTGGGAGAGAGGGCACCAGCAATTTATTTCTTTTATTCATGGAGAGGAAGAGAGAGGGAATGTTGTTGCTCTGGGCTCTGGAGTAGCTTGTAGCAGAACACCGGCTGACCTCTCTGCATTCTCCTTTGATCAGACGGAGGCTAACGGTGTTCCACGCAGGCTCTCAGCATTTGGAACTCTGTAGTTGTGACCATGACTTCAGAACAGCTTTGAACTGCATTGGAACATTTGGATGGTGGGAGCACTATTAGTATGGAAATGCTCCCCAAAGGAAGATTAAGCAGATGTGGAATAGAGGCAAGAATTATCCCGTGAACAGGGGTCAGCACTCAGTCTGAAGAACTTTCACAGTGCTGTGAATCTGGTCAGAAAGCCATGAGTGGTAGTGGCATGTAAGCCATTTTATGATTGCTTATGATTACAACTATCTTCATTGCATGACTCTTTGATCTTTAAAAGCCCCCTTCATTTATAAATACCATTTTCCTTCTGCTATATTACAAAAGTTGCTAGCACGCACCTTCCTTCTGAAAATACAAATATTTCCGTGGATTTCTGTGAGTGTAAACCTTTTAATGGCCCACAAACATCACGGATAAACATCTCACTTTAATCATAGGCTGCCCTGCAAAATGTTAACATTATGTGCAGCTCTAGTGGTATATAACCTAACAAGCTGTATTAATCATTGAGATAATTTGTTTGCAAGATTACTAATTCAGGTGCCTCCCTGAAAGCAATAACATAAAGCTCCTTTAATATATGTAAATGTACATATCCTAGCAATAGCAGTAACAAAAAGAGATCAAATTGTGCTTACATTGTACATTTTCATTTGTGCCAGAAGTATGATAGAGAGTATTACTATAAATATTGTAAAATAGTGCATTTTAGGAGAAATTATAATAATACTTCCTCATACATATATAGCACCAGACTATAGTCGGCGCTGAGATCCCCACCAATACCAATTTTACTTTGAAGAATGATGAAAATAAGGCAATACTATGACACAGAATCTGCTTCAAAATCTTATGTTTTTACAAAATGTCTTTTTTTTCCTTCTTGTGTGTGTTTCCCTTTCTAAACATTTTTAATCTCAGCCTTGAAAGTTCACAGAGTTGAAACTGAAAGGATTTCTTTGCTTTTCCAGTCTGAGATTGCTCCTTTCTTAACTCCTAAAGGATGAACAGTGAGAAAGACAGGCTGCAGAAGCATTGAGTTATTACACCTGCAAGCAACATGTTGGGGCCTTCAGCCATACACTTACATTGATCCAAGTCCCATTAAACACAGTGTTCATCACTATTTGGCTGGTAAGAGTCATCCAAACACCTTGAAATGATGGGTTAGCAGTCATTGTGCAATTCTTGTGCCTGCAACATCACAATAGGCAGGAGTTAAAGAGAGGCATACTGTATATGCTCTGAGAGCCCTGTCAAAAAGTAGAGCTACTTAAGAGAGCCTGTAAAAAAAACTCATCTACCATGCTCATGTACATATTTGTACCAAGACATATCTTAATCTGGGGATATATTTAATGTAGCTTACAAAGAGCGATGTAGTCACCGCGACCTTTCCTCCAGGGGCTGTTCTCCTGGGGCTTCAATCAACTGCAGACTCATGGAATTCTGAACATGATCACTCACTGTTGTAGATTGGCTGACTTCCCACAGAGTATGTTTGACCAACTCTGAGAATGTCACACTAAAACAGGATGAGAGCTTCTTACTGAGAAGGACATAAAGGATAGGGTTCAGGCAACTATTGATGAAGGCAAAGCCGACAGAAAGAGGGATGGCATCTTGAAGCAAATCATGAAAAGAGGCACTATGATGAGCTGACAGTTCCAGAATGCTAAATAAGTGATATGGGGTCCAGCAAATAAAAAAACCCAACACCACAGCAAGAATAGTCCAGAAGAGCCTGCTGGAGGTAAGTTTTGCACTTTTTTTAACCTGGCTGATCAGAAGGGAGTAACAAACAATCATAGTTAAGAGAGGAAAGAGATAGCCACAAATGAACCTTACCCACGTAAGTGCATGATGCCTGAGTACAATAAGATCAAGGTCATGTGGGTGAAAGTTGTAATAGCATATGGTGACATTTTTTGGTAATGTAAGTGTGTCTCTGAAATACAGTGCTGGGCTTCCAAGAACTGTAGCCAAAATCCAAATGAGTAGAATCAGGATCAAGGCATTCTTGAGGGTCCGATGCTTATAGGAGAAGGCAGGTTGGATCAGATGGACATAGCGGTCAAGGCTGATTGCTGTCAGGAAGAAGACACTGGCATACATGTTGAGCAAAGCAATAAAGGAATTTGCTTTGCACAACCATTTCCCAAAAGGCCAGTGGAAGCCCATGATGACATATGCAATATAAAGGGGCAGGAACAAGACAAATATTAAGTCTGCAATTGCCAAGTTGAGGAACCAGATGGAAGTAACTGTCTTATTCCATCTGAAGCCCATAATCCAGATAACTATTGCATTGCCAGGTACTCCTAAGAGAAAAGCCACCATCTGTAGCACAAGAGAAGCAATTTGTGCATAACTGAGATAGGACTGAGGTGGTTCATCTTCTTCATAATTCTCAAAGTATTCAGTAAAGTTATCTTGGTACAGGAAGTCCGTTGATGACATCACCACACTCTGTCTCCTGGGAACTTGGGTCTGAGTGAAAAGGGATAGAGCAAGTAGTTACAAGTATGACAATGACACTTTAAAGCAACTTGCTGGTAATTATAGGCTCACAAATGCAGCTCAGTGATTCAACCATGCATGACAGTCTTTAAATACTGATCCGCATGGTAGATGGACTCTTAAATAAAAGATATGAGAATGCAATGTGTCAGGAAACAGCAAGATATCAATGTACCAACTTTACCCAACATAACAATGCCCGGCACAATTCATCTGGACCACCTCATGTTCATGTTTATAACTAGTGTTTTGTCCAAGGACATGGAAGATTGCTTGAACCTTGGAAGTGTGAGTCCAGTTGAGGAAAAAGCCTATCGGTTTGTGCCAGTGGCTTCTGCTTATGATTTGAATACTTTTTTTAAAAATTCTCATTGTATATATTTCCAGAGACACCTTGCCTTGAGTCTCATTGACGCTTCTATAAATGGATGTTGTAATCTATTACATTTGGAAAACAAGGGGAGAAAACAGGCTGGGAACAGCTGACACAGATACTGCCTGCCTCTCCTTTCAGTGCTTTTCCCCTAATGCTTTCTGTGATGTTGACAGGATTCACACATACACTAAATCAATTATAATGTGCTTTGTTTGGTCTGACTTAACATGATGTGTGAATGCAGGCTTGCAGTTTTTACTTCTTGATCTGTGGCTTGGTGTGAGGCATGAATTTAGCCAATTCTGAGAGATTCACAAAGTATGATTAAGCAAAGTACAGCTCTGCATGTGAAAGTCCATCGTTTCTGTAGAATACATGGTGTTGTGGTTAAGGCATCAGGCTAGAACCTGGGAGACCATGAGTTCTAGTCCCACCTAGCCAGCTGGGTGACCTTGGGCCAGTTGCGCTTGCTCAGCCCTGGGAAGGAGGCAAGGGCAAACCCCTTCTGAAAAACCTTGCCAAGAAAACTGCAGGGACTTCTCCAGCCAGTTGCCAGGAGTCAAAAACTGACTTGAAGGCACAAAAAAATAAAATAAAAATTGTATATGGAGAAGCAGTCGTATTGAAACATGCATTAAAAGCAGCAAGAAGGAAAAAACATAGTACCTCTCAAGAATTGGGAAGCTTGGCTGGTTATTGCTTGTCTAAAGTATTTGAGTCAACAGCTATGGGGTACTGTACTATAAATACCTACAAGAGAAATCAAAAGTGGTAAAGCATGAAAAAAATGGAAATGGTCAGAAAGCAACCTTGTTTAAAATAGAAATTCTTTACTGTCTGGAAAAATAAAATAACAATTAAATTAAGAAGAGACACTTCTTTCCAGTGTATTAATTGCTGCAATACCTTCCCCTCTACAGAACTCTCCCGAAAGTCAGATGTTTGCTACTCTATGAACGCCATGTCATTAAAATTTAAGTGAACTCTTTACAACCCCTTTTTTAAAGGCCATAACCAAATATCAATTTTTCTATACTGGAGACTTTTCAGGGAAAATCAAAGGCATTTATTTACTCCTACTACAATCTGTGCCTCATCTCCTAACCACCTTTATTTTGATGTATGGCTGTTATGGGCACCTTTTCCCAAACAATTCAATGTACATTTTGGCATAAGGTATATTTTTAATTGCAAGCCTAGAGGGTGGAAGAAGCAGTTGCCTTAATTTTAAAGTCACAGGGCATATATAGAAACCAGGCACACTTTCCATCTAAGTAACTACAGCCATAGTCTAAAAGTAAACTACAGCTTTGCTCACTTTAACACAGTAGCACCCATCACTACTAAGATAATTTGCATACAGTGGAACTTTACTTTCTGTTTTTAAGTTGTAAGGATCCTCTTCTATTTGTTTAGGTTGCAACCTTATGCAAAACTATCTGGGAGTAAAACCTATTCAACTCAATGGTGAAGTTTAAGAACAGCTTTTGAGATGTCATGCATTGAGAGTCATACTACTGAAAATTTCCATATGCCACTCAACCTCATTAAGTTTAATTAACTTCATTGCTAAATAATCAAAACATGCAATGCAGATGTACTTAGAACAGCATGTGCAAGAACAGCTTGCTGAATTGCACAGAGAGGAACACTTTATGGGGCAATTTTGCCAATTATGTTAGAAACATCAATAATAAAACCAGCTTGACATACTTTCATTTTATTCACAGTGAGAAGATTTTAGATATTACTTACTGTACATTGGTTTGTATTGTGAATATAGCCTTGCATTAAATGGTCCCCTCATATAAGGAACATCTCTGTCACATTTTTAACATACTTGTTCAACTCAGCTGCTGGTTAAATTGCCTGACTCAATCCTGACTTAATGAGCTGAGAAAGGATCCAGTTAAGTGAATAAATATATTTAACTTTTTTCTTCTCTTTCTCCTTTTTAACAAACATGCCACAAGTTGATCAGTAGGTGATTTTTTTTTTTTAACAGTAGCTGCCTTTAGTGTCCTCTGGGCAGAATGCATTACCATGTGACGGAGCATCTAGAAGACTCTGGGAACAAGGAGGAGGACCATTGCAGAGGAAGGGAGGAAGCATAAGAAAGAGACTTAGAGTAAGTCAGCCTTCATTACACAGGTATAAGTTGAACTGGAAAACTGCTTTGGAAGACTTTCAAGATTCTGTCACATTACCCTACCAGCAATAAAAATCATTCTAGAAATCCAAGTGGTTCTTGTGTCCTGAATTTACAGCCTCAACAGGTCTGACAATTAATACTGTTATTAATTGAAATTAACAATGACAACATTGTGAGGAAGGAGAATGAGCAGGATCAAGTCACAGGAACACACAGGGAGGAATTTAACCTTTCTGTTGTGGTCCTGCCAACCCCCCACTCCATTCTGTTAGTACGACTAGAAGGTTTCTTTACAGTGCCAACATTAACTTCAGTTGCAAACAAAGCTTAACTTGAGAAATAGGACCATTCTAAAAATTGATTCATGGAACACACTTTTTTTTCCCCTGTAATGATAAACTCACAAGTTTTGCAAATTTGCAGTAGAAGCTATGCACAGAACAGGCTGGTTGATGTAGGTAACATCACTCATCTCCTTTTCCCCAGAATAGGTTTGCCTGGGCACACAGACAGATACACAATAAATGAGTTTTTAATCATTTGAAGTACAAGTAGCACTTTTCTGGTCTATAGAGGAAAAAGGAGCTTGCCTGAAGCACAAGGAAGAAGCAAGACTGACAACTGAATTGCAAATAGCTGCAAATCCTCCATCAGTACCACTGAGAAAGTGAGCAAGAGCAGGGGGAAAAGTCACACTTGCCCACTTAGAAGAGAAAGAGTGGCAACTCCTGCCCTTATTGTAAGTGAAAACGCAGCATCTTAATGAGCAAAGATTTTTGAAGAATGCTGATTCTGTCTTTGGCTTAACACAGAAGTGCAAAATCTCACCAGCAGTGTAATGATAACTTTTTAGTTAAGATCATTTGCATATGATCCCCAGTCTCATTTCCGTGACTCTCCAGGATCATAACTTGGCTGTGCTTTTGAAAAGTGTGTTCTGAACATCTCCTTGGTTATACAGATGGAACTCATATAAAATGTATATATTATATACCAGCGCAATCATCTATGTATCTGGCTTATCCAACATGGTGTACTCTAGATGCATTACACGACAGCTGTTATCATCCCAAGCCAGCACGGTCATAGCTATATTGGGTGGGACGGATGGGACTCCTAGCTCAACACATTTAAAGACAATCAAGAACGTCATATGCCAACTTTCTCCATTCATCTCCAGTCTTCCTTTCCTCCATCTGTTCACCCCAGTATATACCAAGAGTGAGCTTGCATTATCCACATCTTCTAACCAAGTAGAAGATTAAACTTTTTCTTTCAAATGTTAGTTTTAAGCTAAAATAATTTTGTTTAGCAGAGAGGGTGTGTGGGTCCAAAAGATAACTTTTGGAAGTATTTCAAAATGTGACATTTTGTCCAGGATGCAAGAGATATATCCATGTAATTCTCCCCAAGAGGATGAATTCTGCGCAAAACACCAGTACCACCCATATGAGTCATGAAAAAAATTGTAAAAATGAGCAAGTCATCTAAACAGCTGCAGTTGGAAACTATTTTGAGGTCAGAATGAATAAATGTTATTTTATTTTCAGTGAAAATAAAGTAGACTGGTCACTTTAAAGAAAAAGTGTATTTGCTACTTTTAGCAAGGAGCTCAGTCTTGTTGCCATTTTGTCAATATCTGCAATGATTTAACCCCAGGGCTTTTGGGTCACAAACATGCATATATAAAAGTATGTGCACAGACACAAATATGCATACATACACATGCATATCATTTTCTCTTAGCGTTTCCCCCATGTTTTCCTACACATTTTCAAACATCTGATATCTGAGAAGAGGATTTCCATTAAGCACAATCTTATAGATATAATCCATGATCCTAGGCAGTTAGAGTGCAGGAAAATTTTGGATAATGCAAATTGATACATTTTCTAATGATGAAGCAAAAACAGGTTCAGGGCAGACCCATAATATCACGGTGGAACCAAAACCTGGGCCTTCTAAGCAAGATCTATTCCCTAATTTAAGTTCACTCAGTCAGATTCCTCTGAGGAGCTGTCCCTCCTTTATCCTTGAGTATCATGCTCTTAACTACTGCAGGCAACATGCAAGTTAGGAGTGACTAGGCTTGAGAGAAATGGGCCCATCTCTTGAAAGTGATCCACTTCTCAGGAAAAAGGCACATGCAGTGAGAAGCAGCTCAGTGCAAGAGAATTAAAAGTCTTCAGTTATCCTTGAGATCTTGTGGTGACCAATGAATACCCACTTGCAGTCAAAACAGGTAATAGGGAGGATATAGCCAGTAAGTCAACAGAAACAATATTCCTACCAGATGAACCGCATTCTAGAGCAGTGTTTCTCAAACTTGGCAACTTTAAGATGTGTGGACTTCAACTCCCGGAATTCCCCAGCCAGTTGTGTGGACTTCAACTCCCAGAATTCCCCAGCCTAGCTAGGGAATTCTGGGAGCTGAAGACCACACATTTGAGAAACACTGTTCCAGAGAAAGCATAAAGCTCTATTCCTGGAGCTGTTAGAAGGGCAAATGAAAGGCAAACCCTTGATGACTTGGTTGTACTAGGAACTCCACAGTAAATAAACCATCTAATGGTTCAAGATTCTCATTTCTTTTGGCTATTAAGCTGAGAATCACTCTTAATGGAGGACAACCCATTGTGGTTTTGCTTTCTTCTCCTGGTAAAGTAAGACTGTATTTATTCATTGGGCTAATTGTAATTCTTTTATTTATTTTTTTAAAATTGCTAGTGGGATATATGAGCCCCTCATCAGAAATCACTTCCACTGATATAGATTATAACAAATTATAGCTATAATCCCTGAAGTATTGATATATAATTCTAGTCACAACTGGCAATCAATGGAAGGAGTATTTAAAAGTTGGAAGAGATTTGGGAACTGGCAAACCTTCAGAAATAGCAAGATGCTCTCCTGCTTAAGAATCAAATACTAAAGTTATCGTGTTTGACAGGGAGTACTGAGCATATGATTGTGAGTCAAATATAAATGGTGACACCCTCAAGAAAATAGATGTATTTGTGTATCCAGAACATTCATTAAAGATGGGAAAATGGATGGAGAAAACTTACAAGGCGCAAATGCTGACAGCAGAGTCCTGGATAGTATAAGATCTTTTGCAAGGAATGAATGCAAAAGCATCACTGTATAAGGGAGTGCTTCTCCTCACTTTGTTAAATGGAAGTGAGAGTGGGGAATGTCAGGAGAAACTTAAAAATGAATTGGGTGCACCAAGAATGGTTTACTGAAAAATGTTTATGGTAAATGAGATGAGATAGGGTCAAGAATGTATGAATACCAAATGAATGTGGATTGAATATCAAAGTGAATGATCGGGATGAGAAAAGTACATTGAGGTGGTTTGGTCATGTAGACAGAATGAGAATTGAACTGCAGAACAAATATATAAAAGAAAACCAAATACGTTGATTGGAAGGAGAAGAGTGAGAAAAGTATGGTTGCACAAAATTCATGAAATCTTTAAAAAGACAGGTGAACATTTAAGGATAAAAAGGCAATGTAGGAATAGCTTTATGAATATGGAGAAAGTAAAGACAATTGGGAAGAACAGAAAGGTATGGAAAGATATAGTGAATCATGTCAGTGTAAATTAGATTTAGCTATATTTCCTTTTCTTTTTTATCTCAGATTTTAATGTCTTTGGCTTACTATTTCTTACTTGTTTTCTGTGCTTTGCATAAAGTTGCTTATCCTGAAAGAGAATAGTATGATGGATGTATATGTATGATGCTGAACCTAATCTAATCTAACCATTCTTATATTGTGACTTTTAGCATTGTGCACTATTTTATATTATATTGCATGTCAATCTATAAGGAAATACTTTAAGTAGCTAAAAAAGAGTCATAGTCAAAATAATGAAGGTCAAGCACTTTGCACACGTAAAAGAAATCCTATAAACTGAGGGAATGTCATTTGTAATCATATGTCTCATTTAAGTGGTCTAGAGCATAGAGAATCACCAACAATCTACCATATTGAGGATGGAGATCAAATACTGATGTGAGAGTAGGAGAAGTTGGCACCTGGAGAAAGCTCTTGGTTGCTTTTGGGAAGCAACTTTGAATTCAGAGACAGTAAGACAGATGGAAAGGGAATGCAGACATGTAACTGTTGGAAGCCATGTTTGTTTGTTCGTTTGTTTCACCACTCCCCACATTCTAGGGTTTTGCAACGTGCTAGCAAAAGTATTATTAGATATCAGCTTCAGTGTAAAAAGCTCTGAGAAAGACAATGTGGAATTCTCCAGATGTTTGGGACTATAAATCCTTAAAGTCACATGCATATAGGATTCTAGAAACAGTAGTCTGGAATATCAGAATTGCTGATGTTAGCTTCTTCTGGGCAGCTAAGCAAGTCAGCTTCTCCCAGGAAGCTAGCACTGCTCTGCCCCCAAATGGACTCAGCTTCCATCAAGAACTTTGGATTAGGCATGGCTTCATTTATAATATGACACCATATAACATTACAGCTCCAGTAATTCAGTTTCCAGATGAGGGAAGTAGGTGCAGCCAAACACATAAATGCCTAACAATGTTGTGCCATGGGTCTAACGTATACATCTGGAGATTCACCTCTGTAAGCTCACAAATTCCACCAAATTACTGAAGATTGGCCTTCATACATGGATGGATTTTTTCTTGGGGCTGTTCCTTTCATCTGCATAGTTTCTCTGAGCCAGCCTAAACTATGGCCTAGTTCAATGTGCAGTTAAACCATATATGGTTTGTTCAGTTTTGGCTAAGCTTGCGGAGCAAAACTAATCATTATGGCAAAATGTTTCATGTGAATTCAGCCAGTATCAGGATACGAAAGAGATAGTCACTGGCATAGTTACAAGTGGAAAGTGAGACAACCTGCTTCTGAGTCACACCACCTTAGACTGCAGATAAAGGCTCTTAGGATCACAGAATATTCTTCCACACAAACACATTCCAAGTCACTTAATACACTGACTTTCTGTGTGCAGAACGCAGACAGGAAGGCAATCCCAATGAAGAAACTGAACAGCAAGTGTGCCAACGCATCCTTTCCGCTTGGGATAAAAAGCAACTTCTAGAAAGAAACAACTTTTGTTGAAACCATGGGGGATGAAAAGATTTATCATTTATATTACTTCTATATAGTTCTAATCCTAATTGCTTTCTTCCCATGCCTATTTTAAAAGGGGGGTGAGACTCTAGATTTATTAAATACATTCAAATAAGTCCCATGTCCCATTTGAACTAAGAGGTCCAAGGCTTGCTAGTCAGTCAGCTGTATCTAGAATAGACAAGAAGATGTTGAAATCCAGCCTGTTCCCTAACAAATGAATAGAGAATGGTAGAAGCTAAGAGGAGCCAAGATGGAAGAACTAGTACTTACTCCAAATACCGGAAATCTCTTTACTAAAAAGGAGATTTCCAGAATTAAGGATGCTTCTATCTATCTATCTATCTATCTATCTATCTATCTATCTATCTATCTATCTATCTATCTATTGGACTTGTCCCCGCCCATCTCCCCAC